TCAGCCAGAGCTGCTTGAGAGGGTCGTTGGCTCCCTGTTCCCAACGCGAGTGGTGGAGCATACTCCGCCACAGATGGCTCCGCCTCCGGCGCTTGAGGCGCCTAACGTGGATGACGACGACGTGCCTGAGGTCACTGGGGTGGAACTAAGGGCGGCGGTGTTACGGCTTAAAGCCAAAAACACCGCCCCGGGACCCGATGGCATTCCTGGCCGAGCGTGGGTCCTGGCCTTAGTCGACGAGGCTCTCGAGCCCCGACTGCGAGGGTTCTTCAGCGCATGCCTCGAGCGGGGCCAGTTTCCAAAATTGTGGAGGACGGGGAAACTGGTCCTCATCCGAAAGGAGGGGCGCCCGGCGGACTCACCGTCCGCCTACCGGCCCATAGTGTTGCTTGACGAGGTGTGCAAGCTCTTTGAAAGAGTGATTGCAAGGCGCCTCGTCAAGCATCTCGTGATGGTTGGGCCGGATCTGGCGGACAACCAGTACGGTTTCCGTCAGGGGCGCTCCACCGTGGATGCGATCATGCGCGTGAAGGCTCTGGCGGAGGAAGCAGTCTCCCGGGGTGAAGTGGTGTTGGCGGTGTCCTTGGACATCGCCAACGCGTTCAACACTATGCCCTGGAGCTGCATCAGGGAGGCGCTCGTGTATCACGAAGTGCCTCTCTACCTCCGCCGCATAGTCGGGGCATATTTGTCGGAGAGAGCCGTCGTCTACCCCAGTAGGACCGGTCTCGGTAGGCGTGAAATGTCGTGCGGTGTTCCGCAGGGGTCGGTGTTAGGGCCACTCTTGTGGAACATCGGCTACGACTGGGTGCTTCGTGGTGCCTTCTTGGATGGTGTCGCCGTCGTGTGCTACGCGGACGACACACTCGTGACGGCGCGCGGCAAGACGCACCACGAGGCAACCCTGAGGGCCACGGCCGGGGTTGCCCAAGTCGTTGAGCGTATCCGGCGGCTGGGTCTCGAGGTGGCTCTGCACAAGTCCGAGGCCCTGTTCTTCCACGGGCTTCGGAGGAAGCCGCCTGAGGGATCTAGCCTCACGGTAGGAGGCACTCGCATCGGCATCGAGCCCTCGATCAGGTATCTGGGGCTCGTACTCGATGGCCGATGGGACTTCGGATATCATTTCCGAGGTCTGGTCCCTAAGTTGGTTGGGGCAGCGCGTGCGTTGGCGCGGCTGCTGCCCAACATGAAGGGACCCGATGACTCCTGCAGGAGACTCTACTCGGGGGTTGTGCGGTCCATGGCCCTTTACGGGTGCCCGGTATGGGCGGGGGCCCTGAAGGCCAGCAACGTCGCGATACTGCGACGACCGCAGCGAATGCTGGCCATCAGGATCATAAGGGGGTACCGCACGATCTCCTTTGAGGCAGCGAGTCTCCTGGCCGGAACTCCACCGTGGGACCTGGAGGCGAGAGCCCTTGCGGCACTGTATCAGTGGCGCAAGGAGGCGCAGGAGTTGGGTCGATGCCCCGAGATTCGAGAAATCGATGACCGGAAATCCCAACTCCGCCAGGTCATCATAGGGGAGTGGAGGGAACGACTCGGGCAACCGAGCGCTGGGCACGCCGTCATTGCGGCGGTAAGACCCGTTATGGAGGATTGGCTCGAGAGGCGTCACGGGACCCTCTCATACCGATTGACGCAGGTGATCACTGGGAAGGGATGTTTCGGAGATCACCTGTGTCTGATCCGCAAGGAGCCAACGCCTGAGTGCCACCACTGCGATGGCCAGACCGTGGACACGGCTCTCCACACGCTGGCAGAGTGCCCGGCGTGGGTTGAGCAGAGGCGAGACCTCGTGGCGGCCATCGGAGTGGGAGTTCTCTCGCTCGATAGCCTGATTGCGGCTATCGTGCGGAGCGAGAGTGCGTGGAACTCTGCCGTCTCCTTCTGCGAGCAAGTTATGCTCGCGAAGGAGACGGCGGAGCGGGACCGGGAGAGGTTTAGAACTCTCCCGGCCCGCCAGGCCCGGGCACGGGCCAGGCAGCGCAGGTCACTCAGGCGCCGGAGGTCGCAGAACGACCTCCGTCCTCCATAAGCGCAGGCCTGGGGGTGACAGGTGAGGCCATCTGTCACCCTAGCAGAAGCAGGCCGGGGTGGCGGCGAGCGCGTTGCGAAGCGCGCTCGCTTCCAGGGAGCACAGGGAACATGGGGTTCCCACACGGGGCGGGGGTCGTCTACTCGTCTGTAGATGACCCGAGGTATGTCGGGGCACCAGGGCCTTCCTTTCTAGGGTATACCTGGTTCCCCGGCTATTAGTACCCGGCGAAGGCGTGCGGTTTTAGTCGGTTCGAGTCCGACATGCCACCGACAGGTGGTATCCGAGGGGATTTCCGCACGGAAAAAAAAAAAAAAAAAAAAAAAAAAAAAAAAAAAAAAAAAAAAAGGTACGACGTATATCACTTATTACTAATTTACTAAACTACTACTACTAAACTACTAAACATTATTACAGAAATAATGCAATACAGAGTTTGTTCGCGATATGCTAGCCTAAGTCGATTCATCACTCAAAAAAATCCCCATCTATTCACAAAATACCTATTTACAACGCATACGTTACACTCTTCAAAACTTATCATTTCATTTCATATTTCTTAAATTACCTATACCTACCCTAAAATTAAACTTCAATTAACAAATACTACGCAGGTACCAATTCTATGAACAACTATAAACAATTCACCTAAACATTACGAGAAAACAAAAGCATTCAAAATAATACCTAATCTCCCGGCTGATTACTAATTATGCAATAAACAATCCTAAATGAAAAATATTTAAAAAACATGTAGTTTTTTGTAACACTTATGTACATATCCGTAGTAAACTTACAAATAATATCCTACATATTTTAAAAGCCAGCACAATGTACTGGGTGATCGCTTTTTTGTAACCACCTAAACATGGTCGGGTTACCACGGTCTTGCACCTTCTAATGACTTTTATTTAATTATCTCGTAAATTATTATATGTACTACGCTGAAATTTTACAGGTAGACAACTGAACTAAACAACTAATTATTGGCATAACATTCAGTTTATATATCCACACACAGGTTTATCGGTGGCCAAAAAAGGCCGCACACATTGTGATCGTGAACGTGGAGAGCTACATTTCATCATAACTTTTTAGTCACTTACAGTATTCTTACGAAAATTCGTATACATTTGGAGGTAGTTACAAGCAATAGAATAACGTTTCAAGTAAGTCTTAAGAGGTCTTATTTAAAGTGTTAGGACGTATTTAAGTGTTTTCATACTTACCTAAATAATTTTTAAACGGTCCATTATTTTTGTTATTTTATTGTCGAACAAATTAAAACTAATCCTTAAGAAGTTATGTACAAAAGATGGTTACAATCCGCTTACCCGTTTCAGAGATCCAGCAAACCCACAAACGTTACTCCAGCAGGATTTCGAATAACTTCGCAACCGAAGAAAATACAAATACCAAATAAGTTGTAACATTTACCTAGTCCAGATAACTAATTATTTAGCTAAAATTTATTTCAATATTACAATTAAAAAAGAAAATGTCTGGCTGCGGTAACGTTTCAAACGTTACTCCAGCAGGAAATGTTTTTTTGAAATAACTAAAAAAGTTTAAGTGAAACAAATTTAAAAATGTGCTTAACAATTACAGAAGGGGAGCAACTAATTATCTATAAAGTTTAAATGACCATTTTCGACATTATTTTGCTGGGGTAACGCACACCACCACCCGTGTTCGTCCCGTGGGTATCGTAAGAGCCTAGCTAAGGCAGCAAACTACTCAGGACAACCGCATTACTAAGAGAATGTTGTCGAAACCTCCTTTCTAAAGAGAGTTACTAAAAACTGTGGATGACGATGATAAAGAAATACTTTTGGTTTTTACTCTGTATACATGTTGATATTAACATGTAAAATCAATACAAATAATTTACTAATTTTAATGAATTTAATTTTAGATAATTTATATAAATAAAAATAATATGTCAAATTAACACAAACGTATTAAATAATTAACATAAATTATAATAATTGCTAATATATGCTAATGATACAAAACGTTGACTCATTTTCTGAAGGCTTCGTTATACGCAAGCGCAGACACGTGATAGCATAGAGGAGACGAAGATAAAACACTGTATACATGTAATCTATCTCATTCTCTCGCAGGCTAAATCCTATTTATGAATATGTTTGTCTCTTTTTACTGTCGCTTTTTCGTTTCATCGAATTTTCAAATCACCACGGTGCTAAAGAAGTATCACTTCAATAATAAGTTTGTTAAACACAGTCAATGTGTAACTAGAACTAACCCTTAACGTTTGTTAAGCCTTTTTGTGTTTAAATGAAACCATTATATTTTTAAGTACATGCGTTCGTTTTAAATTAATTATTTTAAGATGATTGTTTATTATTTCTACAGTCCATTTTAGATAATAAGAGTATGTTTAAATATAACATCAATATGCGAAGTCTTAAAAAACAGGCAGACACAATTTCGTAGGTAATTATAAAAGCAGTTGTAGATCTATTTAATTCTTGAATATAAAACGAGGGCAGATTCATATTAAATATAGTTCACAAAATAGAGGCGCCTTAGAGATTAACTAATAAATCTTCCAATAAATCATTCGACACGACGACCACCCGTTGTTCTTTAGTAATATGGACTGTGTGACCGTGTTTTTATATCAATATTATGTTTATTATGTAAACAAAAATGCAAATACTACCACTTTGTAAGATAAATTAATGACAAAACTCATTTCATGTATTGAAATGGAAATTGAAAAAACATTCATAATATCACGTGGCGCACCGCGCACCTATCTATAAAATGAAACGATTAAGCTACAAAATGTCAAAAAGCAAAAGCACGGAGGACTAGGGGCGGCGACCGCGGCTTAAGCGGGGAGAGGGGGGCAAAGGGGAGCGTGGCCGCCAGTTTCTCGCCAACTACCGCGCCGCGAGCACGCCTTGTAATGCTCACAGTAATTTGACGCGACATGGCCTCGTCTGCGAGCGGCAACATCGTCGTCGAGTGGTTGCGATCGCTCCACTTGGGCCAATACGCGGAAAGTTTTATTGACAATGGGTATGATGACTTAGAAATATGCAAACAAGTAGGAGAACCAGACTTGGATGCTATCGGAGTCCTCAACCCTGCACATCGTCAGCGACTGCTGCACTCAGTCAGATCATTAAGAGAGGAAGGAGCGGCGGCTGTCTACTTTACATTGGAGGAGGCAGCCGCCGCTCGTGACTCCTGCAGATGTGAGGAGGAAGCTCGAAAGGAGCAAGCGACAGCAACAGTCGAGCCGGCAAAATATGCCGACGAGTATGAAGAAGGAAAAGCAGAACTAGTGAAGATACCACGAATGCAACTGAAGCGCTTGCTGCGAGAGCGTCTTGCTCAGGATGGGATCCGCCTGAGTCTACAGCCATATTCGACAACGGTCAGTGATTGTTAGCCCTAAATCGTGGGCAGTGCTTCTTGCGGTTATGATGCGTGTAATTGTGAAAGTGACAGGATATCTCGAATGTATATATGAAACATGTGTCTGGAGTGAGACGTGATACAGAGTTGGGTTCATGCACCTATAGGTCACGATCCAACCGCGTAGAGACACTGCCCGCGTCTTGTTATTTCTTTTGAAATAGTCTGTGTGTGGTTCGGCTTGTCTTCGACCGCCCCGAGCGAATCGCTCCTCGGGACGTGTTGCCATAAAGTTTGTTGCGTGCGTGATTTCCCTCGAGATGAGGAGTTTGCGCGCCTTCCTGTCGTGAGAAGATTGTAATCGCGTGCCTCCCGGCTCTAAATTGGGTTTTACGATAAATCGCGAAACCTGTTTAGGTCCCTATGGCGTTAATTAGTAATACGGCTTGTTCTGACATGGAACAAAGATCTTGGTAACATATAAATATCTAATGTTACCGAGTCTTTTGCCAGTTAAGCAAATCATTTGTACTTGAAAAACATACCATGAAATATAGTCTTAAGTTTTTTAGTTCCACAAATTAAACATATGATAACTTCTACAGCACTAAACACATAAGTAGGTTGAACGTCTACAAAATATACTAATGAAAGGCTATTAAAAAAAATAGCTCAAGCTCGAGGAAATTAGGACTTAAAAAAAACAGTGATTAACATAAAATAAACCTTAACGGCTTATTACGAAAAGGTAAAAGAATAAGTTAGTGTGTCAAGTTTATAAATTTCACAAGCAAGCGTTATCTTCATCACATGGGCGGAAGCGCTTAGTTGATATTTTAATTGAAGTGTTATTAATTATTCAACTGGGTAGTTATTAAAAGGGTGCTGTATTATTTGGACGGTAATACCTTTCTATATTGTATAAATTATACCCTAAATTTGTGGATAGCTTAAATATACATGCGCACGCTTCTTATCGTTCATTGATATTTTATATCAATATAAATACGTTATGCTATGATTTGATAAAATTTATTGGCTTAGGTTTATCTACATAATTCGTTTAATGTATCGGTAAATATTGGAACAACAAATGTTCAATATTTTTTATTTACAATGTTCAAGTCTTCTGTCATTATCGTTTTGGTATGCATAAACTTAGCACCTTACAATAATGAATTCTGGATATTACTTACTTGGCATAAAGCTGGACATAAAATACATATTTAGCTTTCCGTGTATTCTTAAGGTTTTACTACTTGCAGAAATTCTTTGTTTCCAACTCAGCTTACAATGCATTGTTTCTAATAATTTCGCTAACAAGTGGTTGGAAAATGTCGCGCCACAATGGATAGTACACTGTTAAACGATTCGAAAAGAAAATAAATTCCTTTCGTGCAACAGGATAGTAACTACTTTAGGAAGGAATTAACGATTCTTTTAGCTATTACACGAACAATGTTTGAAAGATTATTATTTGTTACTCGTTTTTCTTTATCTACGCTATATAATATATCTTTTATATTAGACTGTGAAGCAACCAACCAACCGTAATTACCTGTGATGATTTTTTACCGGTTTTCGGTCTCCACGTTCAAACCTGTTCGAATACAAGTGCGCCAAGAATTCACGTCGAACAGACGCGCATTGGATTGCCAGCAAAAAATAATCTAAGAAAACCACCGGCATTACGAACTTCTGAAGTCGAGCATAGCTCAAGAATTGCAAGGCTATATTCAAAATTGTCGTCAACGAATTACTATATCGATTGTCGCTTTAAACCTGTTTCGATTTAATTAAACCTGAAGTGTAATTGTCGAATCTAATATTTAAAAAACGTAACAGTTATATCATTAATATTGGTATTTACGTCAGCATCACTGTTACCGGAACGTGCTGCCACAAATAAATAATTACGATTTATTATCACCGGGGTACCTACATTGTTATTGATCTACCCCCATGTCTACCTGAAAGAATTCCTTTCAACTTTAACTGCTAGCAACAATGGTATTGGTAAGAATTTTTTGTTTAGATGCTATTTGTAAAGCGATCACCGCCGGAACTGGACACAAAAGCCCTGACGACTTTCGGTCGGTATCAATATCGTAGTTTCGATTAATACGCCAATATTTGTATTCTGTTATCCTGCATTGTGCTTACAACATCCGTTCTATCTATCATCAACGTTTTTATTGTAACAAATTACATACACCGTAAAAATAGGGTTTATCATGTCACGGTTTTGTTAAAATTGGAGTAAAGCAGACGATTAGGTACGTTTAGTATTTAATAAAAATTGAAAATCTTTTGCAATTTAAAATAATCTGACAATATAATAAAGAATATTATTTAATGATGCAGTTGCTAAAAGGTTTAAGTTAATCCTATCACATCTATATTCATAAGGAATGCTGATCTTTTGTAACATCTATAGGCCTGTTATAATCTACTGCATCTTTTACGTTGCTAATTTTAATCGAGGGGTGGAAAGGTGCGGATGTAACGGATTATATCGACATTAACGCCTCTTAATGAATTCAATATCATTCTCAAATGAGAAATGTTCGTATTTTATTACTTGATAGACGATTTTATTACCATTCCATACTTTATTTTTATATCAAACATGACCGTGACTTCTTGTTATATTTATAATGCAATTAGCAAATATTATTTCAGTACAATGACATCAGACGTAGTCTAGCCTATTATTGGGACTTTCATATCAGCAATGAAAGTATTATAATGTACTCGACTGAAAAAGTATCTAAAATTGTCAACTATACATTTGATAATTTCACCATTAGAATGGGACGCCTTTCACAGTATAATGACTATGATGACATTGATACTACTTCTGAGTGACTGATACGAAACGATTTAAAATACCACGTTTTTAATGGCCTTAAAAAGTGTCTCACGATTAAACTTCATTTTAATACGAAGAGAAACAACTATTATCTATTCAATACGCTAAAACGGTTCAGTAAACAGTATAAGTTGATAGAAAAACTAAATTAATGAACGGTCGGGTGGCTCCCATAAGAATTAGTTTATGTATGTTAATGGAAAAAGAACCATAAAGGTCAATAGATGTTTATAAACGTATTGAATTGGACATGGGACCAGTCACATTTTTATCTGCCCTTTTAAGGCATGTGGTCAAGCCCGTAATGTTTACACAAGGTAAATGAAAGCGTTCGTGTCCATTCTTCAAACTTATTTGTATAGCTATTGTTGATCCCACGAGATTTGTATGCCAGTGTTTATACAAATAATTAGATGTCTTTCGGTTTCTACATACGTTGCCGTTATTTAACATGTACAGCCAACCACACAAATATACCTTGTAAAAGGGACCTACACTAAATATTAATAAACCTTTATGTAAGGATTTTTGTAGGGCTCAAAACAACGAGTTTAATTTGTTTTATGGACTAATTAGTATTTAATGCGAGGTTTTAGGGCAAAAGAGCTTTGTAAATTCGAAATGTCTAAATCTGGTTTCCGTGCAGACTGTACGTAGTTCATTTTCATTCCCACGTATGTTCTAGTTTTTGTTTAACTAGTACTTGTTTTAATTAAAATTTTGTTCATTTACAAATACTGGTTTGCTTTGAGACAAGGCTTAAAATTGGCTGGAGCGGGCTTTTCTACCTGAGCCAACGCTTTGTTGCTATGAATGTGTGCGAAGTCACGCGGTGTCCCGGCTCCTTGGTATTCCTTCGCCGCATCGCCTTTACATATGCCTAGTAACTTTAATCACATGCGGTGAACATGTGGTTTAAAGTTGTATATTATTTACGTACATTCATATCAACATCTCAACTTGTTTTTACATACACGTTTTCAAGAATACTGATATTTTTACGACATAACACTAGATACTTGCACTGCAGAAAAATTTACGATTGTGCTCAGCTCTAAGGTCGGAAACATCAACATCTGAAGTTCGACAGGTGTAACACGAGCTGAGCTAGTTTGCCTGGCGCTTTAAGATGTTTGCTGTGCCCACAGTCTGTAAACCCAAAGTCGGCAAACTTAGAGATTTGCTCTTCGGCTCCCCAGGAAGATTAGCATCAGTGATTGTAAGGTCAAGAAAGTTTGTCCAATCCATAATAGTTGGAATTAGATTTGTATTTTGTCAAGTCTGATCATTGTTAGGTGTTCATAATCTCAAGCATGATAACTAAGGAGTTGTGACATCTTGATCAAGTTTATTAACATTATTGTCCTTTGTGTTAGTTTGTGGCAAATTTTAGGGTTTCTATTTAGAGTCCTTTTCGTGTGATTGTTATCGCTCGGTTGTATATTGCATGTTATGCTTAGAGGTTTCCAGGGTTCCAAACAAAGCTATTTCGTAGCGTATTATTCCTTTTGCCTTTAATTTTCGGGTTCGCGATTGTAATAATTACCTATACTAAAATCGGTAGCGATTCTTAACCTGTAGTAGTATTTATTAACCTGCGTAAATTTAACTTACTGATGACGCGTGTTTGGTTATCATATTAGCAAAAGTTATTTTGGTCAAGTATACTTTCTTACTTATATTTATTCTGTAGGTCTATTTTTAGATCAATAGACTTCGAATTATTTTTTTATGTATAGTGCTGTTAGTATAAGTTTGTAAGAATAGGTTGTTGCTCTCATCTTGACATCGAAAGATTTGGAAGATTTATTTACGTAAGTGTGCAAGTACTTGGTTCGAATTGGATACGAATTTTCGAAGCTGATAAAAACCTAATACAATGTCGAACTCTCTTATAAAATTATTTTAGTGATTTCAAGAATAGGAATAGAAAACCTGATTTTTATTTCTTGTATATTGTTACGCAATAACTTCGTGTTAATAATTTTCAATTTTGTGTTCGTGTTATTTATACTTTACACTCAGCTTTTAGAGTTACCTAACGTTAAATATTCAATAAAGTTTACGTTTCTAGTAGTTTGCTTTTAAATATTTCATAACTGCACATAATTGAAGTTGGTATAATTTATTTCGCTCTGTATTTCATTTTTCTTTCGGTTCCA